CACACACACACACTCACACACACACACACACACACTCTCAGACACACACACACACACACACACACTCACTCACTCACACACACACCCCAACCCCCGTCAGCATCTCAGACTCACCGGAAGTTGTTGCATCCCAACACGACACCTACGATGTTTTTTCCAATATCATGAACGTCTCCCTTCACTGTGGCCAGCAGAACCGTCCCCTGATATGGGTCCTGGAGAACAAAACAAGCTTCCGTAAGTCTGAGCAGATCTTCATGCGAGCCACAGACCAGCTGAACTGAGAGAACATCATTCTGCACACGTGTGATCAGATCACCAGGCTCCTCTGACTTCAGTGAGAGCTCAAGGGTTATTCATGTGTAACTCTGTGCAGAGCTTCACTATTATAAACCACACGGATCTCTTGTGAGGAGAGAACTCACCACATCCTCAGTACAGCCGGAGGCGGACATCATCTGCTCCCGCTCCTTCTCCATGAAGGGAATCAGATGACCGACAGCTTTCTTCATCACACGGGCCGATTTGATCACCTGACGACACGCAAACACAGACCTGTAAAGACTCTATTTACCGTCTAAACTCATGTTCCTGCTCTTATTCTCAATATTTCATCAGTTACTCTAGAAAACACAAGTTTATAATCTTGCATCAATGAACCCTCTCAAAAAATAAAAGCCCAAAAGGGGAATTTAGCATTTTTTCATAATGTGAAGCACGTTTTAATAATCAGAGGAACATTTTTCTACTAGAGAACCTTTTGTGGAATGAAAAGATTCCATGGATGTTAAAGGATCTTGTCCCTCACTCCACATCTTCAGCTTCTCTGCTGAAGCTCCTCGATATGAATCGGTGACATCCTCAGTGATTTTCTGTTACCTGAGGTAGGAACATCTTCCCGGCTCCGAACAGATCTCCGACGGTCTTCATGCCGTTCATGAGCGGGCCCTCGATGACGCGCAGGGGTCGGGGATAGCGGTCGGTCTGAGCGCGCGCCTCCTCCGTGTCCTCCACCACATACTTCTCTATACCCTGAGAACACATTCACAGCGCTTTACACACGTCTGTTGATCTTCCATCACGCTGGAGACTTACGTTCTGAAACCGTGTTGAAATAGCACTCAAATGTGTCTCAAACGAGTGTGCAGCATGAGTTTGTGTTCATGGCTCTGACCTTGACGAGTGCGTACTCCAGCCGCTCCTCCACACTGGCCAGCCTCCACTCGTCCGTCTGAATCACTTTCTTCCCTCCTTTAGTGTGATTCTACACCAACCACAGCAGAAACACATGACAACATGAGGAACACAGACTCGTTACAGCGCAGGTTACATCAACACAATCCCAACAAATCATCCAATTAAAAGTTAGAAAATATTGACATTTTAAATGAATGCTGTTTTTTGTAACTTTTTATTCATCAAAGAATCCTGAAAGTATCACAGGTTCCTAAAAAATACTAAGCAGCAAAACAGTTTCCAACATCGATAATAAATCAGCATATTATACTGATTTCTGAAGATCATGTGACACTGAAGACTGGAGTAATGATGCTGAAAATACAGCTGCACATCACAGAAATACATCATAGTTTAACACATATTCACATAGAAAACAGTTATTTTAAATGGTAATAATATTTCACAATATTACATTTTTTTCTGTATTTTTGGTTAAATAAATGCAGCCTTGATGAGCAGAAGAGGCTTCATTAAAAACATAAAAAATCTTACTGATTCCAAACTTTTGAACAGAAGTGTATATTCAGAATATCTACTATTATAATAATTTTGGGTTCATATAAACAATTTTCAGAATATGAAATCCGACTGGATTCGTTCTGAATGACAGAATATAAACACCTCCTGCTTCAAGTTTTTGCACCTAATAACTGACTCCATTAAGATCAAGACAGGCTGTTTGTTACGGTTTTGTCCAGAGACTGAGAGTGCTGGTTTAGACCGGGCCGGCTCTGGTTCTGTACCTGTGCGTACAGCAGGAGCTTCTCCGTGGCCTCTGGGTCTCGGTTCCAGATGATGTTCTCACACAGCAGCAGCAGCTCTTTATCGATGTCGTCATACACCGGCAGATTACCAGCGTTCACGATTCCCATATCCATGCCGTCCTGAACACACACACACACACAGAGACACACACACACACACACACAGAGACACACACACACACACTAAACGCAAGTTTGCAGTAGGAAACACCTCCTGAGCCGTGAGTGGAGACGCACTGACCTTGATGGCGTGGTAGAGGAAGGCTCCATGCATGGCCTCTCTGATGACTTCCATCCCTCTGAAGGAGAACGAGAGGTTGGAGAGACCACCGCTGACCCTGGCGCCCGGCAGACTCTCCTGCGCGCGCGCACACGCACGCACGCACACGCACACACACACACACACACACACACACACACACAGAGATGGTTAATACAGCGATCCTCCAGCCCAAAGCGGCTCGTCAGTAACCGTCCCACGGACCTTGATGTTTTGCGTGGCTCTGATGAAGTTGACGGCGTACATGCTGTGCTCCTCCATGCCGGTGCCGATGGTCAGGATGTTGGGGTCAAAGATGATGTCGTTGGGGTTGAAGCCCGCCTGACTGATCAGCAGGTGATACGCACGAGAGCAGATCTTCACCTTCTGATCCGTCTCTGTCGCCTAGAACACACCAGCGGATGAGCCTCAGGGGTTTAAATCTCAAAAAGAAATATCTCAAGATTATTTATTCTACATGTTAAGTCAAGTCACCTTTATGCAGTACTGATCGCGTCAAAGCAGCTTTAGTGTCAAACAGGAAAACAGATTGTCAATAATGCAAGACGACAATATTATACAATGTTAGAGTGTCTCTCTGATCTTCACAACTGTTTTTGCTGCTGTAGCTTTAAAACAGCACAGCTCATGTATATGAACATATTTCAGCACATATTTCATTGTTATACCGTATTAATAGGTAACCGTATTCTCACAGTAGTCTTAATGGCCTCTGGATATGAGGTTTTATTTGGGGTTACAGAGACACAGGGACACTGCCTGTTCTCACAGAGGTCAGTGTGTTCTTACAAACCAACAACACTGAAACAAGGTTAAGTTTCTCTAATGTCTCGTTTTTAGATGCCTTTACTTAAAGGACTAGTTCAGCCAAAAAATGATCATTCTGTCATCATTTACTCACACTCATGTCATTCTAAACCTGAATGACTTTATTTCTTCAGTGGAACACAAAAGAAGATATTTTGAGTCTAGTGCTGGGTGGTACACCGGTTCATACCGAATACCGGTGTTTATTTTTGTTATGCACAAGCAGGTAGAAGAAGGTTTGTGTGCAGTAGATGTATTCCAGTAGTCTGTCACAGGGCTCTGCATGCATGTTATGATTTTAAGACTTCATATCACCCCAAAATACCTCATAATTTCCAGCCATGATGAGTTTGGCAAACTTGCGTGATCCAGCGACATTACAGCGCTCACCGATGTTCACAAAGTTTGTGTATGGGCCGATCCTGAACGGCTCTAGACCTGAACACACACGACAGGACAAACAAAAACATACTTTATATAGACAATTATTATTTAAAATACAATTATTAATGAGAGGTGAAAAGCAGACGCACCTGACAGCAGCATATAATCACCGTACACGTCTGTAGGAGGAACTCGGGGTTTGACGTGACGCACGCTTTCAGCAATCGCCCTGAAACACACACACAGTTCAGTGATCTCCACACTCACACACACTCCAGAGCCGTCAGGATCAACCGTTCACACACACCGGATGTGATCAGGTGTCGTTCCGCAGCAGCCACCGACAATATTCACCAAACCATCCACCGCAAACTCCTGCCGCAAACAACATGGGAACATCATGAGTATCGAGTCTGAGCATCGCACACATTCACAGGGTTTGTGTAACACTGAGTGACCTTCATATGAGACGCTGTGACGTCAGGGGTTTCATCGTAGCCTCCGAATGTGTTGGGAAGCCCTGGAAATCAACACACAGATCAGAGAACATACAGACTCTATTTAAAGCATAAGCATGTGACACTTGTGCATTATGGGACAATAATCATTCCAGACAGTCGTCAGGTGCATCTGGTTATCAGCTCACCTGCGTTTGGATAACAGATGACAAACGCTCCCGTGCTCTTTCCTATCGCTTCAATGAACGGGCGCATTTCATTCGCTCCCAGAGCACAGTTCAGACCAATACTGACAGACAGAGAGATAACACATCACTTACAAATATAACTTCACTGAAGAAACGACAAGAGGAGTCCGTGACCGACTGACTCTCACCACAGCGGCTGAGCGTGAGACAGGCTGATGACAAACGCTTCGCCCGTCTGACCCGAGAGAGTGCGGCCGCTCTTATCCACGATAGTGCCAGAGATCTGCACACACACACACACACACACGCGCGCACAGACAGACATGCACGCACACAGACACAGACACGCACAGATGCACACACACACAAACGGACACATGCACACACGCGCACGGACACACACACACACGCGGAAGGCCGGACACACAGACGGACACACACACACACGCACATGCACGGACGCACACACACACACACACACACACGCACACGTTCAACTGTCAGTGAACACACTCATGAGGAGAAACAGATGTGAAGATCAAGAGAGCTGAACACTTACAAACACGGGTCGAGGTTCGTAACACTCCTCAAACAGCCTGTCAATGGCAAATAACGCCGCCTGACAGAAACAAACACTAATAAATCTTCATAGAGAAACAATACAGAAATAAAGCATGTACAGCAATCCAAATATCATCTTTTTGTTTTCCACTTTTCTCACAATTTCTACCCGATAAAATATATATATTTTTAAATACATGTTTATGAAATTTTAGAGATTTTATACATTTCCATGATTTCTCCAGAACTAGAAATCATTTAAAAAGAAATTAGAAAAAAATAAAAAGAGGCTTCCTCATATATCCAGTCCTGGTTCTTCACGGACAAAAATGTATTAAAATAAAGAATGTCTTGATTTTTAGAGGTTTAAACGCTTCTTTTGTCTTATTATAAATCATTTTACTCATCTTGAGGCTCCTGGTTGAGAATTTATTAACTGCCAATTTTTTATTTGTGTGAATAAATATACACACATGCATGTATGCGTATATATATATATATATATAAAAAAATAGGCAGTTAATAAGTTTAATTAAATGAACACTATTTTATTAATGAAACTTTAAAGGGGTGGTTGATCAGCTGTTTTCAAAGGTTTGATTGTGTTTATGGGGTTTTGTGTTTATGAACCTTGTTTATGCTCTAACAGCAACATTACACACTAACTAAAGTTAAAACCACAGAACCGCCTGACTGATGCTCAGATGAAGGTGGTCTGTGTCAGATCGTACGAGAGTTCGGTTGTACCTTTGCGTTCGCTGTATCAAAGATGGTTTCCACCAGCAGAACATCAGCGCCTCCGTCCAGCAGACCCTTCACCTGCTCCGCATACGCCTCCGCCAGCTCGTCAAATGCTAAACACACACACACACACACACACACACACACACACAGACGGGTGTGAGGAAGAGCAGTACACGTGCTCTGGCTTCAGAGTTCGTTCTCAAACACGCGGTCAGTCTTACTGATGTTCCTGTAGTCGGGTCTCTCCACCGATGGAGACACTGACAGCGTTTTATTGGTGGGACCCACGGCTCCTGCTACAAACCGCTTACAACCTGCCAACAACAACACCACCACCACCAACGTCACAAACACAAACACACACACACACACACACACACACTATGATCAGAGGCAGACGTCTGTGTGACCTGTCTGTGCAGAGACATCATCCGCAGCTCTCCGGGCCAGTTCTGCAGACGCTTTATTCAGCTGATACGCCTGAAACACAACAGGCATCACAGGCTGCTGAACCAATCAACACATCATCATCATCTCATGTCAAACTGATAAATGAAATCAAACTATCACCAGGTCCTCCATGCCGTAGTCAGCCTGAGCGATGCTGGTGCTGCTGAAGGTGTTGGTCTCGATGATGTCGGCTCCGGCCTCCAGATACTCCTGCAGACACACACACACACACACACACACACAGAGATAGACACAGAGACACACAGAGAGATAGACACAGACAGTCACACACACACACAAACACAAGACAGACACACACACAGAGATAGACACAGACACAGTCACAGACACACACACACAGATATAGACACAAGACACACATACACACACACACAGAGATAGACACAAGACACACACACACACACACACAGAGATAGACACAAGACACCCACAGACACACACACACAGAGATAGACACAAGACACCCACAGACACACACACACAGAGATAGACACAAGACACCCACAGACACACACACACAGAGATAGACACAAGACACCCACAGACACACACACACAGAGATAGACACAAGACACCCACAGACACACACACACAGAGATAGACACAAGACACCCACAGACACACACACACAGAGATAGACACAAGACACCCACAGACACACACACACAGAGATAGACACAAGACACCCACAGACACACACACACAGAGATAGACACAAGACACCCACAGACACACACACACAGAGATAGACACAAGACACCCACAGACACACACACACAGAGATAGACACAAGACACCCACAGACACACACACACAGAGATAGACACAAGACACCCACAGACACACACACACAGAGATAGACACAAGACACCCACAGACACACACACACAGAGATAGACACAAGACACCCACAGACACACACACACAGAGATAGACACAAGACACCCACAGACACACACACACAGAGATAGACACAAGACACCCACAGACACACACACACAGAGATAGACACAAGACACCCACAGACACACACACACAGAGATAGACACAAGACACCCACAGACACACACACACAGAGATAGACACAAGACACCCACAGACACACACACACAGAGATAGACACAAGACACCCACAGACACACACACACAGAGATAGACACAAGACACCCACAGACACACACACACAGAGATAGACACAAGACACCCACAGACACACACACACAGAGATAGACACAAGACACCCACAGACACACACACACAGAGATAGACACAAGACACCCACAGACACACACACACAGAGATAGACACAAGACACCCACAGACACACACACACAGAGATAGACACAAGACACACACGCACACAGAGATAGACACAAGACACACACAGACACACACACAAACACAAGACACACACAGAGTCACAGACAGATAGATACACATACAGACACAAACACAAGAGACACACACACACACACACACACACACACACAGACATACAATTTAACACGAATGCAAAAATATGCAGAGTAATCAAAGAAAGACCAAATAAGAAATGTAATTAAAAAATTTAAATTAAGGACAAGAAACAAAAAAATTCTAATTAGCTCTGTGTGCAGGGCTTCTGGAAAATGAAGACTTTCTCAAACCTTTTAAAGACCAAGTAAAGAAAATCTAGGGATTAAATTGAAAGGGACAGTAAAATATGGTCTCTAAATGTAAAAACGTCTTGTATTAGCAACACTTAAATGTTTGAAAATACACCTTTAAAAGATCTCCATTACTTTTTAATTCATTTTACACACACACAAAAAAGCTCACAAACTCTAAAATATAGAAATGACTCTTACTGTACCCTTCTGATCACACTGCAAAAAAGTTCTGCCTTATTTTCCAGCACAAATATCTAAAGATTATTAAATCAAAATACAGTTACTGGAGAGGCCAAATTACATCAAAGTCTTGTTTTCTGAGAAACTGATCAAAATGAAGTGGGTTTATGATTAAAACAAGAACAAGCATCTGTCAACGGGCTCAGAAAAATCAACTGAATTCAAAAAGAAAACAAGTTTTCATTCCATTTTGACAGATATTGGTTCTTGTTCTAATTACAAACTCACTTCATTTTGCTCAGAATCTCAGAAAACAAGGCTTCATATCTTCATTGTGCGTCTGCAGTAAAAGTGTCTTGATTTAAGGATGTTTAGAGATTTGTTCTGGAAAACAAGACAGAAACACTGAGGAAGAGATGCATGCTGTGCAGCGCTGCAACATTTAATGCCACGACTTAATCTGGAAAAACCTTCTGCTCTGATTTAAGATCTTCATTCATGGAAGGGAAGATTAAGACTTTGGAGACCCGCAGAAGCCGTGTGTGTGACGATGCGGAGGACTGTGGATCACACACACCCTGTGGATGCTGTAGACGACGTGCGGCTGGGTGATGCTCAGGATGTCATTGTTGCCCTTCAGACTCTTGGGATGATCCTTGAACTCTTGACCTCTGAAATCCTCCTCCTCCAGGTTCCTCTGCTGGATCATCGTTCCCATTCCACCGTCCAGAACCAGAATCCTCTGCTGCAGGAGCCCTGTCAGCTCATCCCGGAGAGACGGCGCTCTTCCTGCTCAACACACACACACACACACACACACAAATACATACAGACACACACACACAAATACATACAGACACACACACACAAATACATACAGACACACACACACAAATACATACAGACACACACATACAGACACACACACACATACAGACACACATACAGACACACACACACACACACAGACATACAGACACACACACATACACACATACAGACACACACACATACAGACACACATACAGACACACACACACATACAGACACACACATATACAGACACAGACACACACACACACACACACACACACACACACACACACATACAGACACACACACACAAATACACACACACACAAATACATACACGCACACAAATACATACACGCACACACACACACACACAAATACACACACACAAATACAAACACACACAAATACACACACACACAAACACAGACACACACACACAAATACATACAGACACACACACACACACACAAATACATCCACACACACAAATACATACAGACACACACACACAAATACACACAGACACACACACACAAATACACACAGACACACACACACAAATACACACACACACACAAATACATACAGACACATACAGACACACACACACATACAGACACACACATATACAGACACAGACACACACACACACACACACACACACACACACACACACACACAGACACAGCACTTAATAAAATACAGACACTGCTCCATGGCAATAAACGGGAAAATAAGTGTTCATGTAAAATTCCAACTGTAAATCAACTTGAAAGAAAATAGTGTCACATTCAGATTGAGTGAAAAAACAAATTTTTTTTTTTTAAACAATTTTGGCAATGTTTACTCAAAAACTGGTGCATGAGCTCAGATCAACAAGGCCTAAAATCAATCAGTTCCAAAAATAAATACAAAACCTGTGCTAATCGAAAGAAAGCAAGCTGATAAAAAGGATTTGGTGATAATGAGAGATTTATAAACTATGTGTTGGCCGGTCATTTCTGAAGGAGAACACCACAAGCCTAACAAGGTGGGACTAATTATCCACACACACACAAAAAGGGGGTTACACTTTACTTAAAGGAGTGTGCATAAGACTGATATGACACGTGTCATGAATATGAAGGATGCTTTATGCGTGTTTATGACACCTGTCATTAAGTGTCATTCGCTCAGTTATGTCATATTTAATGCAAAGAGGACATTGTTTGACCTAACCCTACCCCTAACCATAGCCCATAACGAAGACATCTCAAACAATGTCATCTTTGCATTAAATATGACATAACTGAGCGAATGACACTTAATGACAGTTGTCATAAACACGCATAAAGCCTCCTTCATATTCATGACACGTGTCATATCAGTCTTATGACACTCCTTCAAGTAACGTGTAACCACAAAAGTTAGGTAACGTTAAGTTGCGCTCCTGATCGATAACACCTCGGGTTTCTGGCAGAGCATCACTGAATCAACAATGCACTGACTTTAACCGATAAACTGTTTTCTATCGTGCTCTTGCATTCTCAGCACGTTTCTCCTGCTCGACACTCAGCTGTATAACGACTAATCACAGCTGATCAGCGCGAGAGCTCCCTGATCGATCCGTTTCTTACCACGACTAGTACGTCTAACAATACTCATAAAACATATTAACATGCAAAAATAAAAATACATAAACGCTAATTTGCATAAATCCGCGCTTTGATCAGTGGCACGAGTTCTGTCCTTCGCTTCATGAAAGCAGCTGTTGCATCAGAACCGATCCGGATCGATCCTCTGAACTCACCGGCGGCGGAACTCTGATAAACCGTCGGCGGCATCGTCCTGACGCGACCCGGTTCTGCTCTGCCCAGACACACTCAAACTTTCTCTTGCAGAAGTTCTGTGCGCGGCACACGTGTTGGAGAAGTGCGCATGCGCGGCCTGACACATGTTCTGCTGCGCATGCGCGACTCCTCTTGTGTACCTCACACAGTCCAGCTTCAGTAAAACCAGTCATTTCTATATAAATCTGTTTATTCTACTGTCATGGTATGCATTTCTTAAAGCAAAGAGAATGAGCAAAGCACAAGGCTTCATTTAAACTATAATATCTAATTCATTTGATCTATATTACACGTGTATGTATAGTAGATGTAATGTTATACTGTTTTGGGAATGATTGAAAATCTGTGTTCGTGGGAAAGTTTTGAAAACATGACATAAAAAAATCAAGTCTAAAGTGAGATTTAATGTTAAATCGACGAGAAAGTCATCTCTCGGCGCATGCGCAGTGAACAGACGCAAACCTGAACGATTCATTCAAATGTACCGATTCTTTAATGAACACATCATGCATTTGTTGTGCAGCCTTGAATTTTATCTCCATTTTGAAATGTATTTGAGTAATGAAAATCACTATTGAGAATAATAGACAAAAATGACAATGCCTCGGGGAGTTTTAGTGAGATACAGTGAACTATTTTTATTGATTTGGTGAATTATTGATGAACTCTATGTTGTGTAATTGTGGGACAAAAATACACCCAGGTAAATAGGGTAAGTTAAACATTAAAGGGATTTTAGATTTCTCTTTTTAACACATAACATAACTAAGAAAATACTGTCGACAGAAAACAAATAGATGTTTTTAGGAATAAAATATAATAAAAATGAACAAATCCCTCCGTAAAACCCTTCAGAATATGAAAAACTTGAAGCAAAGTAGACCAAAAAACTGTTCTGAAAAAAAAGTGGCCCATCATTGTAAGAATCCATAAGTAAGATGTGTATTATTTCTGTGGACTAATAATTCTGCTGCAATTATTTGGCAGGTGCAGAGGAAAGAACGAGGCAGACAGAAGATGAGAGCAGACGTGTTTCTAGTTTAATGTTAAAGCCGTGTGATTCGCTCTCCTCTTGTTCAGAATCACCTGACATCACAAATGAGGTCCAGGATCACAGGGTCAACATGTCAGTAAACTCTTCACGACTCTCCTCACCGTACGAGTCTGCCGTCTGCTCACACGAGGCTCAGTATCCAGAGAGAGAGAGAGAGGAAAGACATAAATAAATACAATCAAATCAACAACAGAGCGAGAGACAGAACAGAAGCAAACACAAACACTGGTGAGAAATGTGCACGTCTTCATACTGAATCGTTTAGTGCGAGTTAAATCATAAACTCTGATTCCTGCGATCAGATTCAAGTCCTCTAAAGAACATGTGCTTTGTGGAAGTGCTCGTTTAATACACTTTTATTCTCATCATTCCATGTTTAAAGAGCCACATGCAGCACGATTACATACGGTGGATACAAACGTACAGTTTCGCTGGAGAGAAATTCAAAAAAACAAAATTAATTTGACTAAACAAAGATTTTCAGCCCTCGCTGTTGTTGGGGGTGGTCGCATTGCATTCTGGGAAAGAGGGCGTGTGTGGAACAGTGTTGAAATGGTTTCAGGGGGTCACTCGTCTTCGTCGTCCTCCTCATCCTCGCCGTCGGAGAGCGTGGGACACGGGTGCATCTGCCGGTACCCATCCAGCCACTTCTCCAGCATCTGCGTGATGAGCGGGTGATGTCTGCGTCTGCTGCTCTTCTGAAGCGCCGCCAGCATCCCGCCGTCTGTCACGCAGCAGTCCAGCCAATCCCTGAGCAGACGCTCCTGCTGCTCCTCGCTGCCCATCTGAACACACACACACACACACACATTCTTACACTTTCAGATAAATATCATTTACTATTTTTAATAATTTTTTCCCTCATGAGGACCAAACTGTAAAAAATGTCAGGCTTTACTATCCTTGTGGAGACATTTGGTCACACACTCACACACACACACACACACACACACACACACAGAGACACACACAGACAGACAGACACACACACACACACACACACGCAGAGAGAGACACACACAGACAGACAGACACACACACACACACACACACGCAGAGAGAGACACACACATCAGCCGTCAGTCTAAAGCCCTGATCGCTGCAAACACAGGTGGACAACCAATAAGATTCCTGCTTTCAGCCACATGCCCAGAGTTGCCGACGTCACTACATAAATCACGGGTTTGATTCCTGTGAAATCTGAAATAAACTGTGTAAATGAGGGATGCTCCATACAGCTTTTTCATGTCCAATAACAATAATGAAACCGCAGCTTTTTTGCCAATATCCCATACCAGCAGGTTTCTTTCCTTTTTATATTTCGATCAGTTTAGAGTATCTCCCTCATTAAGTTACTGCACACACACTGCTTCAATATGGTCAGTACTAGGGGTGTGTGATATTGGGCAAAAATAATATCTCTATATTTTCTGGGATTTTATCGATAACGATAATTAGACGATATTTTGCTGAGTGTGTTATTGTGCTGGTATCTTAAGGACTGCCGTGACCAGCTGACTCAAAGTTTGTTGATATATATCTCATATTCTGTGTGCGGGTCAGTTCACAGCAGTGATATAAATTAATAAAGAGCTCTTGTGATCGCCTCACCTTGAAATCGAGTGTAGCCTAAGGTTTCGCCTCGGAAACTCTTGTAATACTTCACTCCGTAAACGATGATGGGCCGCCGCAGGATATGAGCCAGAACAAATATATGAGTCTGCTCCAAACTCGCCCCGGGCTGCAGTGACAGAAAACAGGAAGATTGACCTGATTCAGCGTGATTCAAGAACATTCAAAGCATCGATTACAGGATTTAAGAACTGAATAATTACTATAATATCAAACACTGATGGATCTGTGCAGTACCGCTTCAAGTCAAACAGGTGTGCTCGTGACTCTTTAGCTCCGCCTACGGCACGCCTCCAGGAGCTCGACTGTGTGTGTGTGTGTGTGTGTGTGTACCTGACTGGCGAGGTTGAGGATGAAGGCCCAGTCCTCCTGCCACTGTTCTTCTCTCAGAGAGAAATGAAGCCCAAAACTCTGAGAATACCACGATTCCCACTCCTTCCAGCGTGAGTAGAACCTGCACACACACACACAAATATTGATCCAAAAATTATACAGCAAGAGAATTTGTCCATGTTGTGCACATGAAGACACTTCACTATCAGATCCTGCATGTGTGTGTCTCACCAGTGAGAGCAGTCGTGTAAACAGTCATGGAGAGCTTTTCTCAGCACAGAGTCTTTATCATAGATGCCCCATGTGGCCTGTAGAACAGAGTCCAGCAGACAGTCTCCAGCGGTGCGGTTCCACAGAGCGTACAGACGGCTGTCCAGACGCGTGCCCAGCTCCAGAGACCAGTTAATGACTGCAGACTCCTCCTCCAGCTCTGCACACACACACACACGCACACGGTCAGCACACAGACACACGTGTGCTGCTGTAATGCACTAGCGGCTCACGTCTCACCCTTCTGAACGTCGCGGTCGAGGATTTCATCAAAGAGCTTCTCCTGAACGGCAGGAGGCAGATCTTCAATATCTGTCAAACATACGAAAAAACTAACCATCAAACTCAAATCACGCACACGTGTGTTCCTACAGTGATCTTCACATCGAGAGAGAGAGTGTGTGTGAGTGAGAGTGTGTGTGTGTGTGTGTGTGTGAGAGGGGGAGAGTG